GGCGGAGAACAAAGCCAGCTCAGTGTGTGAGATCTGAAAAGACAGTAAGGGCTTTGGGGTGTGTGTGTGTGTGTGTGTGTGTGTGTGTGTGTGTGTGTGTCCCTTCCTTCCGTCTGCCTTTGTATGGGTTCTTGAGATGAGAAGAAGTGCCATCCTCCCTGACTGGGTGTGTGGGACAAGACAGGGACACAGAGTGGGCAGTGTGGCCACTTGCTGTCATGGCTCGGATGCGCAGGAGGGTCCCATCTCCTGAGCACATGCCTTCACCCGCCATCTGCTTAGCTTTGCTTTGGTTGTGTTTGACTAAAGAATGTGGTCGCAGGAGGTGGCTGCCATGGGGCAGCCAAGCCCCCGAGGCCACCCAGCTGTGTGTGACCCAAAAGAGCCAGGACCATGAAGGCAGACATCCCCCTCGGCCGTGGCCTGGGGAGGAGAGCAGAGGGCGGCAATCACAGGGCCTTCACCAGGCGAGGTTTGACCTTGCATTTGGTTTGGGTTTTCCAGGCAACGGAGGGCAGGTGGATATTCCATGCAGAGGGAGAGGAGGTGAGAGATGAGCAGGCTTCGTGGCGGGCAGCTTGTGAGGTGTGTCAAGGGAGGGCCGTCAGTGGCCGCCGTGAGATGACCTCCCTCAGCTGGGATGGGCCCGCCTGACCAGGAGAGAGGGGGACCATGGGGGTCTGGAAGCAGAGCAGTGGTATGCCTTCATCTGTTTCAAGAGGGAGATCTGGGGACAGGATGGGGACGAGGTCCATCTCCAGGGTGGAGAGGAGGGGACCCAGTTAGAAGAGGCAGGACGGGTTGGCCAGTTGGACTTGAGGGGTCGGGAAGGAAACAGTATGTGTCTCTTGCTGGCTTTAGAGTAGGTGGTGGGTGGTTTCCCCAACCAGGTGAGGAAGGCAGGGCTGGAAGTCGTTGTGGAAGAGAAGGAGTTTAGCGTCAGGCTTTGTGAGTACGGTTGCCTCCGGGAGACGAGACTTCCTCCCAGTCACCCTCACCAAGCAGAGGGCAAGTCAACAGAAGGACGTTCTATCACCTCACTAGCCTGGGCAGTTTTCTCTTCTGTTTCTAGGGCTGAACATATTTATCTCAGCCATTTTTTCAAGTTGCATGCACACACACACACACACACACACACACACACACACACAAAAATGTATTCATTGCCACTTAAGCAAGAAAGAGAATTCTAAGGATGCAAGGTCCTCATAGATACCAAAGGAAATGTGTGTATTCAGACCCAGAAAATGTCCACAAACCAAAGCAGGCACTCTCCCTCCTCCCCCTCCCCCCCCCATTCCCATTGTCCTACACAGCCCTTCCCCTTGCTCCTCTACACGCCTGCATCATCTTCTCCATAGCAGACCAGCTTTCTCCATGCTTCCCGACACACAGGAGAAAATGGTTGCTCCAGTCACCTGATTCCCTGTTCTAAAGTCTTAGAGAGAGACTCTGATTCGCTTAGCTCCTGTCAACTGTGGCTAGGGACAGGGAGTTGGCTGGGAGAGAATCAGACTGGACCGGTTTTGGTCCCATGTCTCCCGCTAATCCAAACAGCTGAGGCTGGGGTACGAGAAAAATGCAAGATGGCAGTTTGAGGTGATGGGGTGAAAGTGGGGGTGAATCACAGAAAAGAAAGAGACTAGGCAGATACCCCAAAGGCATTCACTCCAGCAGGGTTTCATGGCTGTTGGTGGTGCTGATGCCTGAATTGCAGGCTTTTATATTGTATCAGTTAGCTATGGCTGCGTAACAAACCGCCCCCCTGAATTGAGTGACTTTAAACAATCATTACATCATATCATACAAATGTGTGGGTCGGGAATTCAGGAAGGGTTTGGCTGGTTGCTTCTGTGCCACGTGACATTGAGTGGGGCCACTCAGTGGCATTTACCTGGTGGCCAGTCTGGTCTGAGAAGTCTGAGATAGCTTCACTCACATGCCTGGCACATTGTGGGGATGGCTGGGAGGCTGGGCTCAGCTGGGCCCCTCTTCCTCACCACGGGGACTCAGGGCCCATCCATGTGGCCCTTCCAGTGAAGTGGTCTGTCTTTGTCTGTGGTGGGAGGCTCCAGGAGAGCGTGGTAAAGTCTGCCAGCTCTGCCAGAGGTAGCAGCCCAGCCCTCACTCTGTCAGTTAAGTGAGCAGAGATGATGGCTGAGCCGTGTGCGCCCTGAGAGGTGAGGAGGACTCAGCGGGTGAAGGAGCCCATGCCACCAGCTCCTGGCCCTTCCGGATGTCGCTGTGGTGTCACTCACACACCCATCACCCGCTGCTGATCTAAAATGGAAACCCAGAGCGGAACTCCAGGCTCCCTGCCTCCTCTCCCTCTGACTCTGGGCAGACCCCAGAGTCTTCTAGAAGGACTGCCCGCTGGCATCTCAGCCACTCTCTCATGCTTGGCGGCGGCAGG